AGTGTCGGCCCATGTTCATTTGGGCATCAATAAGGACTCCAAGATCCTTTTCTCCCTCTGCACTGACGAGAAGGTAGTTCCCCAGCCTGTAGGTCTGCTGCTGGTTCCTCCTCCCCAGGTTCAACACCTTGCACTTGTCCATATTGAAACCCATCCTGTTCTCATCCACCCACCTCTGTAAGCTGTCGAGATCTAGTTGTAGCCTGCCCCTCTCTTCTAGTGTCCTCAATTCTTCCCACATCTTAGTGTCATGTGAAACTGGACTCTAAACTACCACCTCCAACTTCACTTGCTCAGCAGCCCTTTGGGTCTCTGGAAACTGAACCAAAGGGAGAATTAAAAGGAAAGATTGACTGGCTTTATCCCTCCTCGTGCAATGCCATCATCCATATAGGAATTGTAGCCCAACATGGCTGTAGCTACGGGGGAAGTGGGGTCCTCACATCATCAGCAGGTTCCCAGCTGGACTTTCCCATGTTCCCAGTCAGTTGCTGGAGGTGCTGTGGGAGAGATGCAGCCATTTGGCCTTTCACTTTGCAGAAAGGGAAGCTGGAAACATCCCTACATGGGGCCTGATCCAGTTTGTCTAGCAGGGGCTGTACTAGTAAGGGCTTTGCTAAATGCTCATAGCAAGAGTTTTGTATGCTGACTCCATAGTAGGCCGGTATTATAGCACGTAGCTTCTTGCTCTGTGAGCGTGACCGAACCATGAACCTAGACAGTACAATGTTGTAATACAGGGGAGTGTGGTAAACACCAGGTGTGTTGGATCGTGACTCATCCCCAAATTCCTAGCTTGAGATAACCAAATCCCTAGTTCGAGATGACGTTATTTACTCCAGACTATATAAGCTGTACTTTAACTTACGGGTGGTTCCTCAACTCTGGCGAGGATCCTGACTTGCGCAGAGCCCGGCGCAGGCCATCGCATCCCCGGGATTGAGACACTCCGGGGCCAGGGGAACTATGCGGGGTGGCGGCGGCTGCTGCCTAGAGCTGATGTGAAGTGATCGTCCTCTCTGCTATGACCAGATGCTTTACCGGGACCATCAACATTCATCGTGGGAGATTACAACATGCTGCATTTCATGCAGAGCACGTCCTCATGCTTTCCCCACCCTGGTACAGGTTGCACCTTCTTCACCCTTCCTGCCCCATTTCACCCAGAAAACGGACTCGGCTGCCCCCATGCACGAGGTTCCTTCAAAACCCCCAAGACAGCATCCTTGCTGCACAGCAGGACATGGGATCAATGCCTCGCGTGTGACCAACTCCAGCTCCCCAGGGTTAGCTACAACCCCTGCATTATGGCTGGAAAGGGAAGGGGCTGGGAAACCATAGACATCAGCCCTGGTATGGTTCGAGGCCCTGCTTTATTCCCATCTCACTGCCCTGCAGCATGCTCAGCTCTGGAAAGCTTGGGATCAGGAGGGAGGACAATGCTGGAAGACCAGCCAAGGACAGTCCCTAGGTGTCATGTGCAGCAAGTTGTCCTGGGGAAGACACCTATAGTGAAGGCACTTCTTCAGCATCTGGGCGGGTGCTGCCTGTAGCGTTTCCTGCTCAACCCTCCCCACCAAGCAAATCTTGAGGGGCAGGATCCGTGTCCTTGGGGTCCTGCAGTGCCCTGTAAGGGCCGAAGGCTGGGTGACCCCTTTCTGCACTCCACCAGCATATGGCTACTTGCCTGAATGCAGACACTGTGGGGTACTGAGCCGGTAGGCATCTGCAAGCCCTTCTTGCATTGCTGGCAGGATTATGGATGCTCCTGGGTATGGATGCGCTGGTGCCGGCCTACGTTGGAGGAGTGACTGAAACTGTTCCCACACACAGAGCTCTTCACCCTTGTGTGGACAAGCTGGTGCTGGGCAAGGTGGTCAGATCGGGTGAACCTCTTCCCACACTCAGAGCACTGATGTGGCTTCTCCCCGGTGTGGATGCGCTGGTGTTTGGCCAGGTTGGCAGAGTCGGCGAATCCCTTCCCACACACTGAGCACTGATGCGGCTTCTCCCCAGTGTGAATGAGCTGGTGTTGGGCCAGGTGGCTGGATTTGCTGAATTTCTTCCCGCACTCAGAGCACTGATGCAGCTTCTCCCCAGTGTGGGTATGGTGGTGTTTGGCCAGGGTGGCAGAGTCGGTGAATCTCTTCCCACACTCAGAGCACTGATGTGGCTTCTCTCCGGTGTGGATGCGCTGGTGCTGGGCCAGGTGGCTGGATTGAACGAATCTCTTCCCACACACCGAGCACTGATGTGGCTTCTCCCCTGTGTGGATAAGGCGGTGTCTGGACAGGGTGTCCGAGTGGCTGAATCTCTTCCCACACTCAGAGCACTGATGCGGCTTCTCCCCGGTGTGGATGCGCTGGTGCTGGGCCAGGTGGCTGGATTGAACGAATCTCTTCCCACACACCGAGCACTGATGTGGCTTCTCCCCTGTGTGGATAAGGCGGTGTCTGGACAGGGTGTCCGAGTGGCTGAATCTCTTCCCACACTCAGAGCACTGATGCGGCTTCTCCCCGGTGTGGATATGGTGGTGCTCAGCCATGGAGCTGGATCTCCTGAATCTCTTCCCGCACACTGAGCACTGATGCGGCTTCTCCTCTGTGTGGATGCGCTGGTGCCGGGTCATGGCGTCAGATCTTGTGAAGCTCTTCCCACACACTGAGCACTGATGGGGCTTCTCCTCTGTGTGAATGCGCTGGTGCTGGGCCATGGAGTCGGATCTCCTGAATCTCATCCCACACACCGAGCACTGGTGGGGCTTCTCCCGCATGTGGGTACGGTGGTGGTGAGTCAGGGACCCAGAGTGGGAGAACTTCTTCCCACACTCAGTGCACTCATGTGGCTTTTCCCCGGTGTGGATGTGCTGGTGCCGGGCCAGGGAGTCGGATCTCCTGAATCTCTTCCCACACACACAGCACTGATGTGGTTTCTCCCCTGTGTGGATGCGCCGGTGCTGGGCCAGGGACCCATATTGAGTAAATCTCTTCCCACACACCGAGCACTGATGTGGCTTTTCCCCCGTGTGGGTACTGGCCAAGTGGGAAGGGTAGATAAACCTCTTCCCACACTCAAGACACTGATGTGGTTTGTCCCTGATGTGGATGTGCTGGTGCCTGGCCAGGCTGGAGGAATGGGTAAAGCTTCTCCCACACACTGAGCACTGATGTGGCTTCTCTCCTGTGTGCATGCACTTATGCCTGGTCAGGTCAGAGGGATGCCTGAAGCTCTTTCCACACTCGGTGCACTGGTGTTGCTGCTGCCCGCTCTGCACACACTGGTGCTGGGACAGGTCTTGCTGGCTGGCAAAGCTCTTCCTGCACTCGGTGCAGCGGTGCACCTTCCTGCCCAAATGGATGCGTCGGTGCTGAGCCAGGGAGGAGAAATCGGTGCAGGTCTTACCACATGGGACACAGCGGTACTGATGCTTCTCCCTCTGCACAGGTTGGTGCTTGACCAGGCCTGAGCTGCACGCATAGCCTTCCTCAGGAGGCTGCTGCTCACCTCGGGAAGGCAGCCAGGCACCTCCTGCAAGGGGAAGAAAAACTCCACGTTAGTCCCTGCTTTGCTGGAATGGCTTCATCCTCTAACGGGCTGAGGAGTAGACCAGAGGCATCTGCTTAAAAGAAGAAAGTGGTTCTCTAAGGGCTGCTCTGTCCCACAGCACTGGTGGGTCCAGAGGGAGATGATGCCGAGCCCTCCACCTGACGGGGCCGACATGCTCCAGAAACCAAAGGGCACTGGTGAGACTGCTCTCCAGTGCTCGCCTCGATCTCTGGCAGTGCTGAGAGCAGCGTCTGGCTACAAGGATGAACAGCCTCACGATGACTTTCTGGGCTTTGTCAGCAGGCGTGGGGAGCCCGGCCTTGCACCGGCCCCGCTGCTTCTGTCCTTCACACAAGGGCTGCTTCTGCTTGGTGGAAGAAGCCCATAGTTTTCCTCCCTCATCCCTCCAAGAAATATTTTGTAAAGGGAGGACTTAGAGCAGGGGCTGTCTCTTGGAAAAGCAGCAGGGCTGTGCTTCCAAGGAATGGGCTTAGGACAGGGATGAACCATGGAGGTGTCCTCTGCTGACAAGTCCCAGATGACCTCCAAGTCACTGAAGTCTGCAGCAGGGCAAAGGCCTTGGCATCACCTGCACATGGGCACTGTGCCGAGTCTCATGGCCTGTGACGCTCATGACCCCCAAGATGAAAGAGGAAGGGGAAGAACCTGGTGCAAACCACGGGGGATTCACTTCCCCCACAATGTGAAAGCTCGGGAATCCCACACACCCTGTGGAGCCATTTCATGTAGCCCAAGACCAGGATTCAACACTTTTGGCATTCCCAGTTAACCTGACCAGGAGAAACCAGGGACAGCCCCAGGCTCCCTCCTCTCCAGCAATACAGGCTGCAAAGTGCTTCTGTCAACCATGCAGATGTCCATAAGGGATTGCAAAACCCATCATTGCCTGGGAGAGGGTGATGTATAAGTATGGCTAACTTGGGCTCGGCAATCAAGTCTTACATTGCGGACTGAGGATGGGAATGGAAGGTCCTGGTACCCCAAGGAAACCAGATCTGTGCCTGAAGAACAAGACAATAAACACACAGCTACTTGTCTCCATAGCTTTCACTTCTGGGGAGTGGGAACACCTTCCTGCACACGTCGCAGCATGAGCTACGTGGGGTCAGCCCCTGCAAGGGCAGCACCAGGCAGCTCTGCAGTTTCCAACCCCCGTCACTCGGGGCAAGGAGCATTTCTGGGAAGGGGAGCTGTGGGACTGGATAGTCACAACTCACCTGCAGCCAGGTCCTCCCGCTGTGAGCTTTCCCCTGGCTCCTGCCCAGCACAGCCCCAGAGCTCCCCCTGGCCTTGCTGGAGACGGCAGATTAAATCAGGGGTGGGACCTCGATATCCTGTTTGGGGCACGAGTTAAAGAGGGTTTGTGATTTGGCACTGCATGCAGAATAACCAATCGCAATGCAATCAACTCGTGGATTCCCCTGGGGCCTTGGAGGAAAAAGGAGGGTGGATATTTTGGGTGAAAGGGAAGGCACTGCAGGGAGAAGCCTTCACTACATGATGGTCCGTGTCGCCCGGGTAGTGGAGGGATGGTTGTAGGCAACAAAGCACCAACCAATCGGAGGTATAAAAGGCTATGAAACCAAGTCTCCAGGGATGGGGAGACTTCTTCTGTACAGGACCCTCAAGCAAAAAGTTCAGGCCAAGGATGCAAAGCGGTGTCATGACAGAGCACTCCGGGCAGGTAAAGGAAAGCAGTACAGGTGCACCGATACATGGTCCCGTATCAGATTGGCACCGATATAAACAAAATGATCTATATAGGAAAAATTGTCTTCAAGCGGCCAATAATTTGGCTGATAAAGGGTCAGTGCTGGGCGCAGCCGCAGTGCACATGCAGTGAGGACAGCTGGCAGCATGGAAAGCGGGCAGCTGGTCCGTCTGGTTTGCTAGAAGGGGAGGGGTGGGTGGAAGGGGCATGGCAGGTGGCAGATGAAGGCAGTGATGAAGGCAGTGATGGAAGGAGTGATGCTGGGCCTGGGGCAAGCGCTGCCCAGTCGGAGTGCGGTGAGCAGGGGACAGAGCCGCAGTTTGTCCGGGGGGGCCCCGGGGGGGGG